GACAACTTGTCAGAAGTGGCCAAACAATGTGCGGCCGTTTCGCCCAAAGCCTGAAACCACTGGAAGTGTTGGCAGACGTGAGTAAAGACGCCGACTGTAAACGACTGATTGACAGTACGATCAGTGCATTCAAACGATTAGATATATTAGTGAATAACGCGGGAAAGGGTGTGTTCTGTTCGATCACTGATACGGCTATTCTCGACAAATACCGGGAAGCGATGGACACATACCTCCGTTCAGTCGTTTATTTAACACATCTATCGGTCGAACACTTGGAGAAAACTAAAGGCAATATTATTAACATATCGAGCGTTGCGGGACTTAAACCGGTAAATATATCTGCCATTCGTGTGCATTAATATATTGAATTGATTAACTAATTATTAATATAATATATAATCATGGTTGTTTTTGTACAAAAATAGTTTAGAACAGGGTTGCTCTATTGTATGTCAAAGTGTGCGCTCGATATGTTCACCAAGTGTTTGGCCCTAGAATTGGGACCCAAAGGGATTCGCGTTAATGCTATCAAGTATTTGATCATTTTAATCAAAATTTAATTATAATAATTAGTTGATATATTATAATTGTATCAATTGTGTAGTCCGGGTGCCGTCCGGACTAATTTCCTTCTAGCCATGGGCTGTTCTAACGAGCAAAAGGAGGCCTTATATACTGTAAGGGCCGTCAAATGCCCGGTCGGACGGGTCGGTGAGTCCATAGACATCGCGAACGCTATACTCTTCTTGTCCTCAGACGAGGCCTCGTTTGTGACGAGCGTTAACTTTGTGTCCGACGGCGGCTATATTCACGCCCCCTCTTAATTGGTTTTGCACTTTATTTATTACACAATAAATCATTTGATTGATTGTTTTACATGAATGTTATATACATTACGTATGTTTTATGTAATTTAATACAAAACCGTGTAAAATTTAAATTTATTATTATTTAATAAAGTATGTATTTTTCTTTATTAGGCACTCAATATTTTAAATAAAATCAAATTTTTTTTAAAAATTAATAGTGAATGGTGAAAATAATTTAAACTAAACCCTTCTATGGTTTCAAAAATAATTACATAGATTAATCAAGCTATTGTGATCTTATTAAATTTATTGATTATTTTATATTACATTGAAAGTATTATTATTTACAATAATAAGTGCGCCAAACAGCTACCAAGTAATGACCTTGGTTTAATCAGTTTACTTTTATATTTTTTTATCAATGTTAAGTACAACAGGTACTATCATTATTAGAAAATATTCAAATATTAGTGCCTTTCAAGTGTATGAAAACAAGCTTCATACCTATTGTACTAATTTAGTATACTAAACAGATCCACAATACTATATATTTTAGTAGCTATATAAACTTGCTTAATTCAGTTGTATTTAAGTCAATCGCACTATACTTAACATACGGTGGAAGCAGTGATAATAATGTCGACATCAAAAGACTTTGCAAATAAAGTAGTGCTGATCACCGGTTCGAGCGGTGGTATCGGCGCCCAAACAGCCGTCGAGTTCGCCCGATATGGGGCTCAAGTGGTGATCACCGGTCGTAATGCCGACAACTTGT